TTCTTTTTATAATAAAGAATGTTATTTTAATTCTTCTAGGTAAAGATATTATTGTGATAATTAATATTAAGTTTAAATGATCCGACATAAAAATAAAAATGAGTTAGGAGGAACTAAACTATACACTATTTTTATATAAGAATGACTAAAATAATATTTTTAAAAGATAGATGCTTATCAATGTTATATAAGTCTTATGTATTGTTCAAATTGTAAATATTGTATTTATTAAAAGGGCATAATAATTAAAACAAAACAAATTATCAACTCTCATAAATTATAATAACTGCAATTATTATACTTGTCAAAAAAAAATCCATAATTATATAAAATAGTATATTTTATATGATAGCAATAATAATTATCATAATATCAGTTTATACTTGGAACTAAACAATGTAAACAAAGAACAATTTAGTTCCCATGTAGTGGTGCCACAAAAAAGAAGTTTATGTAGAATCTAGATCATACCCAGCTATTTATTGAAAGGTACAGTCCTTACTCCTTTGATCCATTTAAAGTGTTTAAAGAGTGTTTCCGATTGGACATCTCTTTTCTAACTACGTTAAAATACATGGTGTATAGGGTAAATCATTTTCGGATTTTCCAATAACATTTAGTCTTACCTCGTATAATTTCCATATTTAAACAATGCATTTTTTTCTTTGAACTTTTTATTAACCTTTTGTTTTGGTTTAGCTGTCATAACAACGACCTGCTGATGTAYGTTGTGTTTCTCCGACAATGAGGGCTGCATAACAACCGGACTTACTACACATCTTTTGGACTTAACTTTTTCGCGCTGCTCTTGTGTTTTCTTACCGTCTTCAACTTTTTTTTCAGGCRATGGTGACAGTGTTTTGCATGGCTCGGGTATCTTTTCAACAACCACTTCAACAGGATCTTTTGGAATTGGAATATTATATTCATCTAATGACTGAACTAGAACTTCTTGCACTAATATATCTATGATAGTTTCTATGACTTCAATTATTTCACATGATACTTTATTATTYTYGGACTTGGACATACAGGTTTCAGGTAATTCAGTTTTTAATTTTTTATTAGGTGGCGAAGAAGTAATGTCTTCTTCTAMTTGTCTTTTCATTTCATTATTACATGCTGGTTTATGACTAAATAAAAAAAATAAAAAATTGCTATTAATAAATAATAGTAAGAATAATATAGGTTTAGACAATATTGCTGAGATTAATTTTAAATAGTGATGTAATATAAAATATTATGACAAAATATTTAAGTGGGTCATTTATTACTAATTATAAAATATAAATATTTTCTTAATTTTAAATCACAAAAAGATACTAAATGAAAATACTTTTAAATTTATATTTTAATAATTAATAATAATATGATRTATGAGTAGTTTTATAGTCACTGATTTCTATATAGAAGTCTGCAAATAATATGGATGTGGATGAAGTATATAATGTATATAAAATGATAATCTTTATTATAGGACAATTGTTCTGCTGATTATTTTCCAAATAAAAATAAGTACAGAACAACTCAGACTCAATGTGTAAAATAAATTATTATTTATCAGCCTTATGTATATTTTATTTATATAGTACAAAATGTAGTTATACTATTATTTTAAGTTAAAGTTGAAAGGGGGCCAACTAAGAGAATGGTGTCCTAGGGCTCAATTGATCCTTAATCAAGGCTTGACCACAACTCATTTTAATTCAATTTTATAACTAGCTTACACTTACTCTTTTTCTGTGGTGTTCTCAGTAATTAAACCAGTATCAGATTTTGACAGTGGTATTAAAGATTTACATTTTTGAGGAGTTTTCGGTTTTAATGAATCTATGCCAGAACATTCAATAGCTGTGGCTTTAACACATTTACTAAGTTCCAATGGATCAGATAAATTCCGAGGAATTAAAACATTTACTTGATCTTTTTTAATGTTCTCTGTATTTGAGTGTAATGGAGATGATTTCGGAGTTTTATTCATTGCCCTAAAATTTAAAAATTATGCATTAACAAAATTTAAAATAAATAACAGTATACAATATGTCTATATTTTAATTTACTTATTAATATCTTCATTCTGAAGACTATTTAAATTGAGAGGATCAGACATGCTACCACCGAGCAAAAACTTTTTAGGTGGTATTATATTTTGACCTTCTTTTTTTTTTTTCTTTGGCGATGAGCTTATAAGAATTGATGTGCTGACGCATCGTTTTCTTGAGTGTAGATTAATTTGTTCATCACAATACTGCAAATTTGTACAAACTGTATTAAAATCTTGATTGTCATGTGGGTTTTCAATTTTTTCATTCTCAAMTTCAGTTTTAGTCGCCATTATAAGCCTAAAATCAAAAAATAATTGTACTGTTAAAAAATGTATGTATCACACTAAAACAATAACTATAATTAATTAATTCAGTTAAAAAAGAAAATAGTATTAATTATTATTTAGTATTCGTTTCTTTTCAAATAAGATAGGTAAAATACAAATGTACATATTACAAGACTGAAAACTTAGATTCAACAAAGGAATTATTGACATATTACAAATTTTATTATGACAATAATAATACATTAACATATTATAAGATATGATATGTAATTGGTAGTTGTAATAAATAGATTAAAGCGAGTCAAAATATTTTGATTAATAAAATCATTCCATGTATAGAAAATGATAATATAGACATTTAATAAAAATATAATAATAATAAATAATAAAAAWAAATAAAAATATAATAATCTACTGTGGTTGATAGTTTTTAAATTACAACAAATCAGAAAATCATTCTATGAAATATCCGGCGATATCAAAAAATATTGTTGTAAAAAATTTGAAGTTCAAATGTGCACATTTTTGTTTTAAGTAGGAAAATTGATGAGGTATTTTGTATTGTATTTTAAAACTTAGATTTATCTATAAAATTCTTTATGAATTTCTATCTAAATAATTCGCAAATTTTTGTAATTTACATAAACACCCATAAAAAATTATTTTGGATTAATGTTTAATTTTTTTTTTAATTTCCACTAACAACAACTTATAAGGATTCTTGAATTAAATTTTCGAATTTCTTGGACGARTGAAATTTTTATCTCTACTTGTCTGTTATCGGGCGCAAGTACACCATATAAAATTTATCTCCCTGCCACTTGTTTATTGATAATAGTTAAACGAGACCTAATAAAAATCAACATTTTCTTATGCTTATATATAGCTTAAAAAGAATCAGAATATTTTGATAAAATTTCACGGTGTATAGAATAAGCTAAAATGAACACTATAAAAATGTCATGTGTATGGGGTAATTTTTTATGTTACACCAAAAATCAAAATCGATTTTATCGTAAACCAGCATTGCATAAAAATCTGTTTTCCTTGATAATTTTTTTTTTGTGTTAACTAACACTTTTGAAACTTATGGAAATTTTAAATTTTAACATGAAATTTTTACTCTTGACTGCCCGAGTACCAATAAGATCTAGT